TCTCTCTCTCTCTCTCTTATTTGTTTACACTGTTTTCCAGGTTCCACTCTTTTCTCTTTCACTCTATTCTCTATTTATATTTTGTTTGCATCTTTTCATTTTCCATTGTTTCCGTCTACACACGTGTTTTCTCCCAGTTTTTCTCTTGCGTCTCTGTACCTCTTACCTCCTGCTTAGTTTCATCATTCCGTCCTTTCTGCTGTCCATCACCCCCTCCCATCTCAACCCTCCTCTCTTCACCCCTGTCCACCCATCCATCTCCATTCTATCTCTCTTCTTCCTAGGTCCCTCAGCATTCTCCACCTCTTCCCCTACTTCCCTCCACATCCCTTCCTCACTCTCTTCCTCCCTCCCCATCCCTCTCTCCCACCTTCCCTCCCTTCCTTCGCAACTTGCCTTCCTCCCACCCTACCTTCCTGTCAACCTTTGAGGTGATAAAAGAAGCAGAGAAACTGGGGTATGTTTTGTGGGTAAGATACAGATCGGAAGCCACTGGTTACGTCTCGCCTCTCTCCCACTCCATCCTTAGATCCATTTATCAACTAATGAAGGAAATGGATGACTTGGTGAGGACAATATCTGCGCTTTTCATCCCGGGAGAGTTGTGTTGAGGGAAGGGGAAGAGGCGAGGTAAGGAACGGGAGGTGGGGAGGACGTAGGGAGGGAAAAAGGGATGGAAGAGTGCAAAGAGAGGATATAGGAGGAGATGGAATGGGAAGAGGGATAGGAGAAGGGAATGGGAAAAAATAAGAAAAAAATGGGAACGAGGGATAGACGGAGGGAGAGGGGAACAAGGAGAGAGAGAGAAATGAAGCAAGTTATGAGAAGCATAACACTGAATCTAAGACCTGTCAAACTCAATCGCGAACCCTAAGACCTGTTACGAGATGTATTCCCAGACATTGTGAGAATGTCTAGTTAAATTAAGGAGACATATTTTTGCTAAGGAAAAAATAATCTTTTTAATGTTCAAATTTGCTGTTAACATCTTCTCAAAATCTTTGAGACACTGTACTTTCTAATTACGTACTTCTAATTGAAGTTGTCACTGTATTCTCACTGAGAGGATAACTTACCAGCAAGCAAGCAAGCAAGCAAGCAAGCCCCCGTAGTGAGTAAATAGCAAATTTTATTGAAAGCAATTTACAAATACCTTATAAACCAATGAAAAATCAAAGGTTTGAGGATGCATAGAATTTGTGGACCTCCACAGCTTTGTTAACTGCCTAATTGGGTTTAAAGCCAATCGACTACACGAGGTCGTTAAGACTGCCCGTAACTCCCCCACCAGCCAGGAAAACTTTAGAGACTACAGTAAGCCCTATATACTACACTAGAGACATTACCACGGAACGGGTGGGAAATTTAACCTATGGCGGTGAGTCCTGTAACTCCAGGCCGTCCCTTGTTTTTTCTACATTCGTGTAATTACGATTTCACGAATCACTAAGACACGCAATTCTCGGCGTTCGAACCTCTGTTATATATGAAATATTATGTTATTACGTAGATTGATTATAAAGCTACCCAATAAATACAACGCATGCTTGTATAATTTTAATAACATATCGGAATTTATTTTTATGGCTTCCCCAAGTATTATGTCTCGGGAGATCATTGAAATTAGCCAAGTAGGGAGTCTCGTTCAGGAGAGATGAGTCAAAAACTAGCCAACTCGCGTCATTTATCAGAGCCAGCTAGCCAAAATTAACATGGCTAGCACGTGACTGATCATCCGCGTTGAACTGGACTGTGTTAACCGGAAGTAGTGCTTGCGAATGTGCGTGCTGGTTACTTTTAATATTAACCTCCGTTGCACTTGTAGAGGAAGTTTGAATCGTAACAACAGCGTTTCACTCTAAGTAGAGCTTTACAACCTCGCAGAGTGAAACGTTATGGCGATTTTAAAATCGTTTTGCGCCTCTCTGTCGACCTGTTGGAGGTCGCTTTTTTACCTGGTTAAT